AGTGTTTCCTACAGAATTTGATTCTATTTGTGGGGGCACCGCACCGCGATTTCGCAAATCCTGACTTCACTTCCTGCAGACTCGTGGGGACTCAGTCTCAGAGCCGTAACCTTATAGCAGATCCAGAGATCCAGACTCGTCATGTACGAGCATAGCCGCGGGAAGTCATTTTACTTAGGGGGTGCGGACAAAAGTGGGGAGAGATTTCAACAGTAACATTAAGTTTTTCAAATGTACACCATTTGTCAATTTGTTGCAGCCCCTCCAGCACTCTACTTCCCGCGGCTATGTGCACGAGTCAACAGCAGACTCAGATTCGCAAATCCTGACTCACTGTGCAAAACATAGCAGACTCGTGCGGACTCAGAGCCGTAACCGTATAGCAGCAGATCCAGAGATCCAGACTCGTCGTCATGCATGAGTCAACAGCAGACTCAACAGCAGACTCAGATTCGCCAAATAATCATTTTTTTTTGTGATCAACATTTTTTATTAAAGCAAAAGACACTGTGTAGCGGAGGTTAATGTAACGTTGGTTTAATATGCTCGTGAAATGCAACAACTTTTCGGTTTCACCGGTAGGATTTCTACGCTCTTGGTGATGCTGACTCATATGACTCAAATGACTCGTATGATCCGGATCGCTTCAATGACTGACTCAGAAGACCCTGAGTCCGTAAAAGGATCCGGATTTGCCATCTCTTGATGTATAACGTGTGTACATGTGTACACGAGCACTGTTTAATTCAGGAAACAAATGAATGTTACAACTTTCAACACGGTCAATGAGTCCACTTCTTAAGAAAGACGATTGGGGCCACATGAGATTTTTTAGGGTTTAAAATAAAATGGATTTCTGGGATTAAAGTCAGATTTCTGAGATTAAATTCAGAACTGACATTTATTTTAAACTTTTGTTTTGTTCTAATCCTCTGTATGCGCTAAAGAAACACCTTTGCCTATGTTCCATGAAGTATACTACATTTCTTGTGAAATCATTTAAACCATTAATAATGGAATAATGTTCTATAGAAAATGTTTTAGAGAAAATGTTTTTGCAACACACACGCACGCACACACACGCACACACTTCACCACCCCCCTCCCCCTCTATGCGGCTGTTGTCACCTAAGCTCCGGACGGTGAACTCAGCCTCTATATTTAGTTTGTTGTACTGTATAGTTTAGTCCTGTTTGTGGGTCAGGGTTCTGCACAGCCGCTCTGGCCTGGTTCGGTTCAGCACGGCCCGCACTGTGCCCTAACCACCACAAAGAAACAAACCCTGAAACCCCTTCCTCACATGTTATTGAGCATGGTTTGGCAGGCAGTGAAGGGGTTAACAGCAGTCACTCAGCATGCGGGCAGGCAGTGCAGAGGCTGACCTCTGACCTCTCAGGAAAGGAATGTGGAAGCTCTTTCATCCAGGACAGAAACTAAAGACACCCGGGCGGTTGGAAAGTGGTGGTTCAAATCTGCCTTCAACGTTTCTGATTAGGAGAAGAGGTTCCACGTGTGTTTGTCGTACAGCATCTGCCATTTTGAAATAAAGCTCCATCCTGCAGCGAGTTCTTACTCTGATGACTGCAGGAAGGCTGCACTGTGATCAGTGGATGGAAATGGCTGCAGTGTGCTGTTTGTGCTGGCATAAAAAGCAAATGAGCTAAAGGTCTCAACTACATTTCCCAGTCTTCTTTAAAAGATCATGATGTAAGTTTAGTATTTTTGCTAAGCTTGAGTAAAAGGACGAAAATTCAAGGTGTGCTTTAGGGCGGGACTAACTTGAGATTGACAGGTCGCTTTTATCCTTGAGTTCGTCTTGGAACTTTAACGCTTTACGGTGTGATTTAATTGCTAAGTTTTGGTCGCCAAGAACATATTTTTGTTTTGGGTCATTTCAATAAAGCAGGAACCCTGTATTTAATAAAATAGGCCCAGAATCCTTAAATCAGAATGCAAGAAAATCCCTCTTTTATCTGCGTTAAGGAAAATACAAAGAAAAGTAAATACATGTTGAATTGTATGTACATTTGTTTGTATTACCACTTCAATGCCCAGTGTTTGTTGGGTATAGGTGTTGTGTGTCTGAGCAGTGTATCTGCGGCTGGTACTGTATCTCAGCTGATTGTAGCTGCATGGTGATGGATTTACTGTACAAACAGAACAGTGGGGGGGGGGGGGGGGGGACATTGTGAACTGAACGGAAGTGTTCTATATATGCTAAGTGCGACCACATGAGAGAAACTTGGCCGGATTTTCATTAGTTGATAGATTGATAATGAGGAACATGCATCAGTGTGGGTCATGCAGAGAGACATGCCAACAGCTCCTAAAGATGGTGGATGCTCCTTTGTCATTGAGTCTGTGTTGAGTTGTAGAAAGAAAAGAAAGGTTGTTGATGAATCAGCTGATAGAAAAGCACACTGGTTGACTGAGAACAAAAACAAAATGTACTTCCACATGTATCCATTCATTGTAACTGAGTGCTTGCCTACTGATTATCAAATCAAAGTTTATTTATATAGCCACATATCACAAAACACATTTGTTTCAGTGGGCTTTACAAATAACAAACATAGATGACAGTGAAAATCATTAAAATTACAACAAAATTATAAAAAACATGATAGAACGTGAAATATAAATGAAATAGATACAAATAAAACGAGATAAAATACAACAAATGGACAGTAGAAATACTATAAAAACAATAAAATACCATAAAATGTACAGGGTTTGGATCCAGAACTTTTAATGTTTTTTTCCTTGGCAAATGCTCCATCCTTCTACCAAGTTAAAAATCAGGCCCTACTGACAAACAAAAAAATCAAACTGAAAGCAGTCCATACGGAGGTTGTTAATGTACACTTTAATACAGTAAGTAACTTAGCCATACCAGATAGTGAGTTCCAGTGGAGTCAGAGCTGAGAGCTACTACTCTGCAGAGCTAGGCTAACGTTACGTTTACCAGCATTACTTTAGCTGTATTCTTCTACATCATGATTGGAATTAGCCACTGCTAATTCATTACCAAGATGCTACAAATGTATATATTTTTCATTACAGTAAGAGCAAGGGAGAAGAAGAAGCTAACTAGCTATTTTCAGCTTACTAGAGTTCTAGTCTAATAGCTGTCAGTTTGGTATTTAATGCTTTTTTGTTATTGCAGTAATATATTTACTTGCATGGAGCAATTCTGAAATCCACATTACTCTCAAACATACAACATTACACATAAAATGACATTTATTTCACTTCCTCAATACCACCTCCAGCAGAGTTACCTTTCTTTGGGGAGGTATTAGCATTGTGGTAACAAACAGTGAGATATAAACACAAATATTTTTGTTTTAATATCACATAATGCAAGTACATACTAAGTCAGTCATTTGGGCTTGTTCAGGCCTGATGTGTGAAGTTAGCACATATTCTGTCATGGGGTGTCTTTTGTGTTCAGGCTCTATTTGTTTTATTTCTATCACTTGATGGTGTGGATTCTCTTCATTGTATCTGCCTGTCTGTGTGTGCGCCTTTGTGAATGCGTTTGAGCGTGCCGGCTTTTGGTTTGGGGGGGGATGTGTACATGATTTTGCATTCGGCGTGACCAGAACTCTGTGTTGTATGTGCTGTTGTGTGCGGAGGAGAGAGGCAGGGAGACACGGCATGGTTCAGGGCAGGAATGTGCGATGTGGGTAGGCTGTACAATAGAGCCGGGCTCCCTGAGGGTGGTCAATGGGGCGGGTGTCACCCCCCTGCACCCTCCCCGCTGGGTGATGACCACCACACAACGCTACAGCTGTCAGGTCCTCTTAACCACCGCTGTAAACACACATACATTATGAGAACAAACACACATGTGTGCACACTTGGACATGCGTGAGCATACAGGCACGCATGTGTGTATCTTGTGTAGAAGGAATTACATGAACACACACACACCTCTCACATGTTGTAGCCACAACCTGTGGATAAATGTTTGCGCATTTCTATGTAAACATGTACATTTTAGCATCTGCAAAAGCACTCAGAGCAGATTCCAACATATTTGCTTAACTCAGTGACCTCTCACACAGAGAGGATCCGTTACATTGGGAGCTGTGCATGTATGTGCATTCTGTCACATATGCCCACATGTGTTTACGGTACTTTGTGCACGTGTCTGGCGCTCGGAGCCAGCGAACATTGTGATCAGCGTTGTGTCCGCTCAACCTTGGACTGAGCTGTGTGTTAGCAGCGGGGTCACAGAGGTCACTGAGGGTAAATAAGGGGATGTGGAGATGAGAGGAAGAGAGGGTTCAGCGGGAACACCAGTTAATATAGTTTGTGGTTGATTTTAATAAAAAACTGCAGGTCGGGGGGGGGGGGGGGGGGGGGGGGGGGGGGACAGTTCTGCTGTCAAATTTTTCACCTCAAAGTTTGAAACAGGTACTGCTGGTTTAGTGGGTCTAGGAAGTTTTGTGGCATAAACACCGCCCCCCCCCCCCCCCCCCCCCCCCCCGCCACTTAACCTTTCTAGCCTGGCCAAGTTTTTGCGTGTTTCTCTGGAGATTCCAAGAGTCTTATCAAGTTTCATATAAGTACATACATGTACACACATAAACACACACAAGCTGACTGTGCAGTATTATTGGTCTTAAGACATGATGAGGGATGAGGCTGGTCCTTTTCATTCAGTTTTTTTTTACAAATAAATTATTATGCTTCGACTGCGACTGAGAATGTAATCATTCACAAAACTTTTTTACTTTGCAGTTAATATCAGTCAGACTTGTAATTCAGCGCCCCCTAGTGAGCTCAGAGCAAACTGACTTTTCAGATGAAATTTGAAGCGACATATTTAAGTTGGAGAGGATTCATTTTTTTTATGATATTCTGACATTTTGAGTTGTTGTTTACATCAACAGATTTACCCAAAAATCGGCCAATGCTTTAAAATAAAATAACTTCTGAGCCACTTTTTGTGGACTGACCTTTGTTTTTGTCATGCTTACTCTCTCCTGCAGGACAGTAAAAATGCAGAACAGTGTTTCCCACTCACCGCCAACCATAGCTGTTGGGACTGGGTGAGGAGAAGAGAGAAGAGAGAGTGAAGAAGAGGAGCGAGTGAAGCAGAGAGAGGAGGAAAGTGCGGAGAGAAAGAAGGACAATAAGTATTTCAACAGGTAAAAAGTTTGCCTTAGCAGCAGAATATGTTTCATTCTCACCAAGGGTCTTCATTACTCACTGCCCTCTGAGGAAGACCTATTCAGTCACTCTGCCTCAGCACAGCAGGAAAAATAATAAAAGAGTCCTCGCACCCTGGACACCATCTGATCGCTCTCCTGCCCTCTGGTAAACGTTATAAGTCAGAAGTCGAACAAAAAGACTCAAAAACTGTTTTTTTACCGCATTTGGTTACAAAATAATGGCAAATGCCCTACAAATAGTCATCAAAACACAATTATTCCTGAATTTATTTATCTATTTATTTATTAAGTGATCAACTCAGACATGCAAATGTCACTACCTGTCTGGTTTAAACTTACGCTGAAACTGAAACGTTGACTTTGTTGACATAACACATTTAACTAGATTCCATATAACTGTATTAGGTTAGTTGAAAGCAATAATATTAAGTTTGAAATAAAAAATATTGTGTTCAACTTAATATAGTTGCTTTCTACTAACCTGATAAAGTTATGTGAAATTGGTATACACTTAATTCAATTCAACGTTTCAGTTTTTCAGTGCAGTTATTTGAACTGCATTTATACATTTCTTTGAGTGTATAGATACATATATATATTTATGTTATTGCTTGTTGATATGTAGATGTGCACTGACAGGATTGCTTTGTACCTGTACAATGACAATAAAGGAATTAACTTTAGATACATTTTGCCACAAGCTTGGAAACGGCTTTAAAGCATGTTCTTTCTATCACACAGCAGATTTTGGCTTACCTCGATGTCCCCGCTGGATTATTGGCTCTTCCTGTGAGCTGTTGAGCATCTTCTTTTTTTTTCTGACAAACCCCCCCACTCCTACGTTGAGCCTGGGGGAGCCACCAGTGGGTTTTCATGGCTGCGGCACTCTAGGGCTGCCATGGCAGCTGCTGCCGCCGATGCCTCACACCGTTTTACCGCACTGACGCCGGAGGAAGAGGGACGACGGACCGCCAAGCTGTTTGGGAGCGCCCCGCTGCCACGGATAGAGAGAGAGAGAGAGAGAGAGAGGGGGAGAGAGAGAGAGAGGGAAGGAGGAGAGGGAGGGAGAGCGAGCGAGTGTCTGGTGTGCGGGGCCCTGTTGGCCTCACAGGAGAAGCTCCGGCTCCACGCCCTGAGTCACACGGGAGAGAAACCCTTCCACTGCTCACAGCCACACTGCCCCAAGGCCTTCAGCTCCAAATACAAACTCTTCAGGTACTGACCGCCCCCCCATACCGCTCAGTACCACTCACATCCTTTAAATGCAGAATTAAATGGCTTATATAACTTTCTCAGAATCCCCAATGAGCAGCTTAAAAAGGCTATCATCTTTTACTTATAAGTACTCATATCTTGTACTTTTAGTAAAAGTAATCAGATCTTGTACTTGAGTCAAAGTAGAAGTACCAGAGTGTAGGAATACTCTGTTACAGTAAAAGTCCTGCATTCAAAATGTTCCTCAAGTAAAAGTAGAAAAGTATTATCATCAAAATATAGTTAAAGTACCAAAAGTAAAAGCAGTCATTGTGCAGATTGGTCCATTTCAGAATAATATATATGATATGTTTTATAATGATTGATCATGAAAGTGTTCTCAAAGCTGGTAAAGGTGCAGCTAGTTTGAATGACTTTGTATACTGCAGGGTAGCTTGTGAATTTACTCCAGGTGGAACTAAAGTCTGATTTAACACTTGATTATATTTCACATCATTCATCCACATCTGTGAAGTAACTAAAGGTATTAAATACATGTAGTGGAGGAAAAGTACACCATTTACCTCTGAACTGTAGTGGAGTAGAAGTACAAAGTAGCATAACATGGAAATACTCAAGTAAAGTACAAGTATCTCAAAATTGTACTTAAAGGTGGGGTATGTAATTCACTTCAGAGACACTTTTTGTTATATTCCATGGAATGCTCTTAACATCCCGATAGCAATGAATACATTAAATGCTTTGACAATAAATACATAAAAAAATGTCATCTGTGGAAGCCGTAGTACTGTAAAAAGCACGACCAATCATCTGAGCCGGCCCGGCTAAAATAACTGGATGGCCTACCTGCCTGTCAGCCTTCCATCTGTGCACAAACTTATCTCATGCCCTCATTGGTCATGTGTGCGTTCGTGTGTGTTGGAGGAGGGGCTCTGTAAGGAAGTCTGAAGGAAGGGGCAGATTTTTTTCGGCTGTGTATTTTCAAATTCTAGCGCACTCGAGCTGGTTTCTCCATTCTTACCTACCCTACCTTTAAGTACAGTACTTGAGTAAATGTACTTAGTTACTTACAACACTGCTCATATTTAATCCGTATGAACCTGGAAAAAGAGTGACTTGTCAGGAAACATTAACTGAATCTGAGGTTTATCTTATCCACCATTGCCTTTAGATTAATATAGATACAATTACTGATTGTCTGTAAAAGCGTAGCTTACAGAAACAATCCCACTGATTTCTGGGTTTTGGTGTCTTTCAGCTTGTTGTTTCGGTTTCGCAGGCCACAACTTTACTGTTTCAGTACACTACTTACCCTGCTCCAAACACACAGACATGATCAGTGAGTGGAGTGTGAGGCTGCTGAACACAGATACTGCCTCCCGTAGACTGAGACCAAAGTCAGAGATAAAAGGACGGTAAATAACGACACACTTTTTTGGTAAAGTTTTTTTAAACCTGATATTAACCATACCCGAGTACACATGAATTGTACTCAAGAGCACAGCCAAATCAACCCCAGGGGGGAACACAGTGTTCACACTAATAAAGCAAACTGGACTTTGGGGTGGAGTGTTCTCAGACCTGGGACAGGATTCCAAACGTGAAAGTCTCAAACTCATTAACATATAGGATGTTTGGAGTCCTGTGAATCACAGGAAGTGGTTTTTAAAACCCACTTTGGGTCCTGGATGCAAACCACTATGACTCATGTATGTATAAATGGACCCGAGGCTAACAGACTGCCCAACTAATGTGACAAAAGGACAAGGAATGTGAAACTTCTCCTAAAACACCCCAACCATTTACTATGTCTTTCTTTCTTCTTGTGTTCCTTCGCAGGCATATGGCCACACACTCTCCACAGAAGACCCATCAGTGTTCGTTCTGTGAGAAAATGTTCCACCGCAAAGACCACCTGAAGAACCACCTGCAGACCCATGACCCCAACAAGGAGGCCTTCAAGTGTGAGGAGTGTGGGAAGCACTACAACACCAAGCTGGGGTACAAGCGCCATGTGGCCATGCACTCTGCCACGGCGGGGGATCTCACCTGTAAAGTGTGCATGCAGAGCTACGAGAGCACCCCCATTCTGTTGGAGCACCTCAAAAGCCACTCCGGGAAGTCTTCAGGCGGCACCAAGGAGAAGAAGCACCCGTGTGATCACTGTGACCGTCGCTTCTACACCCGGAAGGACGTGAGACGGCACATGGTGGTGCACACGGGCCGAAAGGACTTCCTGTGCCAGTACTGTGCCCAGCGCTTCGGCAGGAAGGACCACCTGACCCGACACGTGAAGAAGAGCCACTCTCAGGAGCTGCTGAGGATCAAGACGGAGCCCCCTGACATGTTGGGTCTTTTAGCCTCTGGGTCTCCACCCTGCTCTGTGAAGGAGGAGCTCAGCCCCATGATGTGCGGCATGGGGCCCAACAAAGACCCCATGATGGGCAAACCGTTCTCCGGTGGGGCCCCTTTTTCAATGGGCATGTACAACCCCCACCATCTCCAGACCATGTCTAATACTGGGGGGGGTCACCCTCACCCGTCCCTGATGCCCAGTCCGTTGTCTGCAGCTATGGGCATGGGGTGTCACATGGAAACCCCTGGACCACTTCACCCACACTCCCACCACCACCACCATCACCACCACCACCACCACCACCACCATTCCCCCCCGCTGCCCACACACCACCAGTCTCCGGGTCCCCAGCAAGCCCACAAATACCAGCTGGGATCTACCTCATACCTGCTGGACAAGCCCTTGAAAGTGGAGATGGAGAGCTTCCTCATGGATCTGCAGAGCGGCTCTCCGGGCCCGCTCCACTCTGCAGACCCTCACTCTGCTGCCTCACCCCCCAAGGATGGCCTGGAGCCCACCTCGGGCCTGGTGGACGAGCTCTGCGGGGACCACCTCCTGTCCAAGAGCCCTGCGGTGCTCGCTGAGTCTCTGTGTGCTGCTAACATGGACTTCTCCCACCTGCTGGGGTTCCTGCCCCTCAACCTGCCTCCCTACAACGCCCCCATGAGCACGGGAGGGCTGGTGATGGGCTACACCTCATCCGCGACCCCCTCGTCTTCCTCCTCCTCTTCCTCATCTCTGCACGCTGCCGAGCCCCACGGTGCAGCTGTCGCCACGGCACCTTTTACCTCTTTGCAACCGCAACCTCAGGAGCACCAGAGCTCCGGTGGGGTTCTGGGCCTCGGACCCCTGCACCACCTCCCACCAGTGTTCAGCTCCAGCTTTAGCAACACCACACTGCCTCGCTTCCACCAGGCCTTCCAGTGAGAGGCGGTGGATATATCTGGGGCTGTGGTTTGTTTTAAAGAAGTTGGAGAATCATAATAAATGAAACACGGATGAACACTTAGAAGCCTTAAATGAAAGTGCACAAAAGCTTTTGATTGAGCCTTAAAAGGAAGTTAAACCTCAAAGGAGAAGGTGAGAAAAGAAGTTGAAGCAGCTTTTATTTGGGCTCCCCCCCCCACCCTATCCTATAGTTATAACCATGTATTAAACCATCCTTTTTATTTCCATTTACTTCCCTTTGTATCCCCCTCCCATCCCCTATTTAGTAGTATAGAGGGCAGGATCATCAGTAGGCCAAAAGGCGTGGTACTGCATACTTTAAGTAATAATATAAAAAAAAAAATGTAAGATAATTTTTTAGTGAAGATTATCTGTCTTGTTGTGACCCAGAAAAAAATATAGTTTGAAGTGGATATTTTGTTTTATTTTCTTTTTCCAAATGTAAGAAAATGGTAGAATGTGTCTCATCTTGAGTTTTGAACCTCCCGCTCTAATAACCTAAACGTCAGGAACAGTGCAGAGAGCCCCCCCTCTCTCCCAGTGAAGGAATGGAGAGATTTAGACATTTAAACAATGATTGAACTTAAACTTTAAAATCCTCCTCCAGACAGCCTGAGTAGAGCCACAAACCCTTCTGCCTCTAAGAAAGTGCTCTTTAAACCATGAGATGATCCCCTATGATTTACTTTTACCTGTCACTGATGCACTCCTAGAGTCCAGTCAGTTTAAATGAAAATAGGTCACTAAAATGAACTCCTATTAACTCGGTCACACACATTTTTAAGAAAAAACAAAGAAAGAATCGTGAGTACAAGTGTGTGTTGAAAATGATGTAATATCATGCTGGCTTTTTTACTGTTCCTCAAGAGAAGCACTTTTTTTTTAAAGCAGAAGGCACTTGACCATTAGGAATCTCCTTCCTCGTGACTTCCGGAGGTTTCCACAGACGTTCTCCTCACTCTCCTTCCTTCACCTGTCTCCATCTAACAGTTATCTATCAAAGCTCCAATGAGAATAATGCATATCGATAACTTGGCTGCCCAACATACCTAAAAATATATTTTTGGAACAAACACATCTTTAGGCAGTCTTTCAAAAAGCTGCTTCATCATGGTAATGATGAACCCTGACATATGTGAATGGCAAAAACAACAAGAGAACTTCAGTGACAGATGAGTCAAAATGTGTTAAAGAATGTTATTGCAGTGTACGAAATATCTCAAAAATGAATATTATTATTGCTTTTATCTCAGTAAGGTGTATTTTAGGTAGACATATTAAAACTAAGTGATGATGTTTTTGATGTCTGGCAGGTTTACATTTGTGTGTATCTTGCGTTTGTTTTTATCAAATGGATGAAGTATTAGCTTTTTCCCTTAAGCTTTCTCTGTCATATCCAATCTTTACCTTTAAATGTACTTGAGTTAGTGTAGTGGAATCAGAACTAGTCTTCTATAGAAGGCTGTTAGTGGCTGAATAATCAACTAGGATTTGAGTTAGATAGATTGTTGGGATGCTCACGTGGTCGGCCTGTGGAGGTCTCATCCAGTGGAATATGTAACTGTGCTGTGGTGAGTCCCACTGCGATCCCAGTGGACTGGGAGTTTAAATCCTCATCAACCATCATCTTCAGCCTATAAAAACCTGAGCCCAAAGTTAACCTAAGCTTAAAGTGAATAGATGCTAACGTTCTGTCTGTGGCAAACTGAAATAACTGAAACGTTAACTTTAATTAAATGTAATATGTCAACAGATTACACATCACTCTATTAGATTAGATGAAAGCAATAATATTAAGTTGAACCTAATTTTTTTAATTTAAAGTTAATATTATTGCTTTCAGCTAACCTAGTACAGTTTTGTGAAATCTGTTGACATAACACAATTAAAGTCCACGGTTCAGTTTTTCCAGTGAACAGCTCCATCTGGGACACTCCCTTTAGTGTCTTTGCAGGCGTGCAAAAGGCCCCTTCGCTCACTCTGCCTTCAGCAGTCGTCACGCCACAGGCCCCGATCGCCATTAAATGTTCAACAAAGAAAAACAGGAAAACACAGCACATAAAAATGAAAAATAAAACACATTGCTGCTTTTAGCTACGGTTGCTGATGGACGACAACAGTAGACCACTAGAACATTTCAATTTTTTTTTTTTTTTGCAAGATGGACAGCGAGCTGAAAACATGCACAAACAGAACCAACAAAGTGTTCATCATCCCCGGAACCCTATCCCGCCCCCCCCAACCCCCCCTGTACTCCCCTCCTCTCTCGCTGCTTTGTAGAGTCAAAGGTAAAGGGTCTGAGAAGGCGATACATCCAGAGGAACGCAGTCACCGAAATTCCCAGGCTTTGACATTCAAAGTGCGGGGGGGGGGGGACATGACTGACTGCCAACCTGGGTTATTGCTCGTAGTCATATATTTGTTTTGTTTGTTGTCATATGATATATTATTTTCTGTTTGTTTAAAACAGGACCTCGAAAAACAACACAACACATCACCTCATTTTTATTTGTTTTATTTTTTCTTACCAAAACCTGGGGAGAAGAAACTACATTTTTGCACAGTTGCTTGTTACAAAAATGCTACAAGATGTTTTTATACTGTAGGATATGAACCCCCCGACCATGAACCTTATCTCTAAAATTATACATTTTATAATCCAAGTTCTGAACTAATCTGAATTTGACTCATATTTGTCTCCCCCTGGAAAGTCATTATTTTGATCATGACTTGTAAGATGATTAAAACTTTTTATTGATTCTAAATAAATTAGCCAACGTCACTTTTATGAGAATTTACATGATGTAGCATATACGTATATATAAAAAGGCAAGATTTAAATTTAAATTGTTATCAATTTAAAAAAGGTGTTTTTTAAGAAAAAACATCTTAGATTAAGCCACATTTGTAGCAATCAAATTGAGCATTTATACTTTTTTCACAAATATGAAATAAATCCAAAAAAAATGTAAATGAAAGAAAAGCATTTGGCATGTATTAAGTTTGTCCTCCCTGGGTTTCTGTGAGCTAATCTGAATTCTAGCACTTTCAACCTTTAAAAAAAGAGTATTTTTTCTTTTAAAATTCAGCTTATATGTTCATGTGTTTTTAATTTTGTATTGATCCTGTATATGTATGTGCCATTAGTTTGATGTGTAGACTTTATCAACCTTTGTGTATTTCTCTTCTCCAAAAGAATAACAGTATTTTTGATAGACCTTTCACTAATATCCTTTTAAATAAGAGCCCCTCTCCTTTGAAATCTTTCTTTTTGTTTTGGGGTAACCAGCTTTTTCTCTCTCATAAATATCTAATCAAACTCTACAGCCAAGTGTGTGAAAAGAACAGCCACACCATTTCTGAGTGGGGGGGAAACCAGACCGTTGTCAGTCAAATGTCAAAGCCACAGCCTGCCTTTAAACGCTGTTGCAACAGAACCCATCTGCACGCCACTTTTAGACAGTGTAACTGAACGAAATCCAGACATGAATAACCCCAAACTTAGCACTTAAAGCCGCAGCCATGGTCACTGAGCTGTTGTCCTGCCAAAAGGAACAACTCCAGCTCAAAATGACTCATATGTGTGGCTTTAAATTAATGGAACTAAACATACTTGTAGATATTTTAAGACAACAGTGAAAAACGTAGAAAGCGTAGTAGTCAGGCTGTGAAACACTGACTTCACTGATCATTGTTCCACCTGAGCTCATTAGGGACGCCTTGCAGAACTGTCACAAGAGTGAGTGAACCAGGACTGGGTGAATTTAATCATTAAAAGATCCTTCTAGTAAAAACAAACAAATCAAAGACAGGCCCTGTTTAAGGCATCGATCTGTATGGAAGTCCATTTCTGCCAAATAAAGTTAAAAAACAATCACTACGCAAAGTTACGCGAGATAAAAAACGATTAATTATGCTTGATCACAATAATCCACCATCATAATTAAGACTTTGTAAGTGAAGATGTTTACTATCTGGTAAACCTTTTTAAATAACCTCGAAAAATTACTTTTTCTTTCTTCTTTTTACCATTTAAGGGAACATTGAAAAAATATCCCAGTAAAACCTTTCTTCACTTCTTTTTAAGCCTTAATGTCATTTTGAGTTATAATTTTAACTTCTATTTCCTGACAACTACTACATAATGTGCACACATACAAGATTATTACTTGACTCAGTTATTTGAAATGCAATTTACTCTCTCAATTATAACTTACTATGTCATAATTGTGACTTTTATCTTAGTATTGAGTATCTCATATTTTTAACTTACCGTCATTATTTCTTTAGTAGTAGTTTTGATATTTTTTTTTATCTTTTTCTGGCAGATCTTGGCTTCCATAATGTTAGCTGACACTGAGAGGAGATTCCAAATGAGCACGACTTTATATATATATGTATATATACAAGGGTGTAACTTTGGTTTGAGAAGTGGGGGGGACACAAAACAGGGGGTCCTCCGCAATGAAATATTTTCTCAATTTAATTCCATTTCCTGCCTTTCTACAAATATATTAGGGACTATAGTGTTAACAAATCCAAGAAAAATGTGTAGTGTATATAATGAGTGTGCACACTTATCTAGTATCCAACCATGTGAACCTGTTTTATTTGTGATTACCTGACATCCTCTAGGGGGGTCCGGGGGCATGCACCCCGGGAAGATTTGTTTCTTTAAATTGAAGTTGAATGCATCAATCTGGTGCACTTTGAGGGCAACATTAAGAGATTTATGGATACAGTTCTCAACACTCATATGAAACAGAACTGTATATATTTCAATAATCAAAAAGCCATTAGAATATGCTCACAACCAATAACAAATCATTGATAAACTCCTCTCTCCTATCTTTATCTTACCTAGTCTGCATTTTTTCTTTTTATTTATGCATATTTGACTAATCACTCCCCTTTCAAACTGTGTTTTTTATTTTTGTACTGACCTATAGTACACATTGGAAGGATTTCTTAACTTATTTTATATACAACTATATATTACATAGATGGAAATATTTGTTTACATAGATGACCAAACCGTTTGAGACCCACTGAGATAACTAGACTAAAGTTTACAACCTAATCACTCAGAGAGTCCTTTACCTCCCTGAGCTGACGTTATCTCTCTAGTCCGACAGGAGAGGACTCTCCCTCTCCTTATTGTTGAAACAGCTTCTAATCTCCGTTAGCTCCGAGCTAGCACCAGATGCTAACAACAACCCACGTCTCTCTCTCTCTCTCTCTCTCTCTCTCTCTCTCTCTCTCTCTCTCTCTCTCTCTCTCTGTCTCTCTCTGTCTCTCTCTGTCTGTCTCTCTCTCTCTCTCTATTTGTTTGTCTCTCTCTCTCTCTCTCTGTCTCTCTCTGTCTCTCTCTGTCTGTCTCTCTCTCTCTATTTGTTTGTCTCTCTCTCTCTCTCTCTCAGTCTCTCAAAGTCCGACAGGAACGAGCTCTCCCTCTCCTTATTGTTGAAACAGCTACTAATCTCCATTAGCTCTGAGCTAGCACCAAATGCTAACAACAACCCCCGTAACTCTCTGTCTCTCTCTGTCTCTCTCTCTTTCTATCTCTCTCTCACAAGATGCGCTCGTGCCACACACACACACAGACGCTCCTCCGTGACGATGACCGCTTGCGTAAAAAAAATAATAATAATTAATAATTAAATTAAAAAGTGGGGGGGACACAAATGGGATTTTGAAAAGTGGGGGGGACATGTCCCCCCTGTCCCCAGTGGAAATTACGCCCATGTGTATATATATATATATATATGTGTGTGTATGTGTGTATGCATGACCCTCCCCTGACTCAGAGATGTGTTCCTGTTCCTTGGCTTGGCTGTAGCTCCATTACCTCGACCTGCACCTACTAGGGATGCACTTATCCTCACCTTTCCTCTTTACTACTAGGTGCAGAACACAAACATTTTAAGGGAATTTGTTCATCAGTTTAACTGATTTGACTTAATAATACTTGCTCTTTATCTCCCTCTCTTTTTTTTGCTTTTAGTAAGGAACTGGGTACTGTCTGATGCAGGCGACATCCACGTGTAGTTTTATATATTTCTAGCTTATTGTAAGTCTTGCATTCCAACCTCTTTGTGTATCTCGTTTAGTGACATAGCCCTTTTTATTTTGATCACTTTCTATAACAGCCACCTCTGGAATAAAAAGGGTGAAAAAAGGTGAACGAAAATAGAATATTTGCATTCACTTACACTATTTTCTATAGCATGGTGTTTATCAACTACAGGGAGAATTATATAAATGATGTGCTTCGGAGAAAGAAAGAAAATGAGAAGTC